CAGCCAAAATCAGGTCGGAACTAGGAACTAGAGCAATCCCCTTACCTCTGGAGCCGGCTCATCGGCTTGTGCGAGAACGCAGAGTAGGTAGAAGCCCCTTACCTTTGGAGCCGGCTGAAGGAACAGGACATGAGGAGAAGGGGGCTAGGGAAGAGGAGGTAGAAGCCCCAACGGCCCAACCAGCCAGCTCCTGCACCCTCGGACGCCCTCCGCGTAGCTCAGGCCGCCAATCCCACGGATCCAGCCGCTAGGACCTCAGATCCGGTCGCCACCGCATGGATCGAGCTGCCACCGCGCTTGCAGGACCGCAGTCCGGTCGTCACCGCGTGGAAACAGCCGCCCGGAGGGGAGGCGAGCCCGGACCAGCCACCACCGGATCCGGCCACCCCGGCGCTGAAACGGCAGACGGCCACAACGAAGCAGGTCGACAGATCGAACTGCAGTCATCGAGAGGAGGAGGGAGAAAGAGGATGCGAGAGAGCAGCCGTCGCCGTGCCCCTGCGGCGCAAGGGGGGAGGGGGCGCAAGGGGGGAGAGGTGTGGAGGAAGAGGAGGGCTGCTGCGGCGTCCGCTGGCCAGCTCACACCAGCCGCTGTCACCCTGGCCGCTGCTCGCGCGGGGGGGGGAGAGAGCGTCGAGGAGAGAGAGAGGGAAGAGGAAGAGAAGCTGGAGAATTTTTTTTTGACTGTGCTCTACAATATATAGTCAGAGGCATTTGCAGGGGCGGCTGGCGATTGAGCCGCCCCTACAAATAGAAACACCGGAGGCGGCTGGTGAGTGAGCCGCCCCTATAAATCAGACTCATTTGTAGGGGCGGCTCGTATCACCAGCCGCCCCTGCGGTTCCATTTGTAGGGGCGGCTGGTCTCTGGGCTCCCGAGCACGTCACTATAGGGGTGGCTCCAACATCAGCCGCCCCTAAAAAAAATTTGTCCCGTTGCTGCAAACCGTTTTTCACGTAGTGTGAGGCCAAGACGATCGTCGAGATGTGGCGCCGAGGTGCACGTGTGGTTTCGGACGGCGACGGCGAGGTCGATGTTGAGAGGGTGGAGAAGACCGTCGTCATCAACGGGACACCTTCGCCGAAGACAACGACGACCACGGTGGCGACGTCGTCGACCACGCGCAGCGGCTGCGCCGGCGGGGCAGCACGGGAAGGAAGCAGCGGTGCCGGTGCGAGAGCCAGACATCAACGAGCTAGCTGAAGAGTTCATTCGGAGGAACAGGGCGGCGTTCCAGCGAGGGGTCACCGGCGACGACCACGGTGGCCTGCAAATGCCGTAAAGGATATGATGGATCAGGGGATGCATGCGTGCATGGATGGAACCAACAAGTTGGTTGTCGTGCACGTCAGCTCATTAGTTGTGTGCAAGTTTCGTTTTCTTAAACGATAAATAACTTTGCGAGTGTATATAGATTTGTAGACATGATCTTAATATTTGTATATATGTTGTGACGAACAATAATAATTTGCATTGGTGCAACTCCTTTCAGAATTTTTGTTTTTTTTCCGTGTGACCTCTCAAAAAAAAAAAGAATTATTTGGTGCAACTTCCACAAAATGAAAAAGAAATTAGGGGGTGTTTAGTTGGTGAGGTGAAATTTTTTGGATGTCACATCGGATCTGTCGGAAGGATGTTGGGAGAGATTTTTGAATACTAATAAAAAAACAAATTACAGAACCCATCAGGAAACTACGAGACGAATCTAATGATACTAATTAATCGGTCATTAGCACATGTGGGTACTGTAGCACTTAAGGCTTTTCATGGATTAATTAGGTTTAAAAGATTCGTCTCGCGATTTCCAACCAAACTATGCAATTAGTTTTTTTTCGTCTACATTTAATGCTCCATGCATGTGCTGCAAGATTCGATGTGACATTTTAGGATGAAAATTTTTGCAAACTAAACAGGGCCTTAGACTACTTGTTGGTTTGCCTTTACTGCTTTACAGGATCATCTCCTCAATCTTACTGTCACAAAATGAAAAAGAAATTAGACTACTACTTATGCTTGGTTAATAAAAAGTTACCACAATTTTGCTCCTCACCCAAAGGCAAAAAAAAAGGGAGAAAAATCTATTCAGTGCACCCTTTGGGCGAGGAAGTCAATTACTGAATGAACAATCTTTATCACAATTTACTAAAAACAACAGCATACTGCAATCATTTTTTTCTTGCCAAATAACAGCAGCCCATTACTCTGGTGAAGAACCGACGATTACTGAACCTTGGTGCACCACAGGACATATCAGATTACCACCGCAAAATATTTGCCACATGGTTCCACAGTTAAACAGAAGAGTGACTGAAAAACAATGAGCAAAAGGGTAAAAAAAAGGGAAAAAAAGTAACGGCGACTTTATAATGCCCCAGTCCTCGGCCCACTAACACCCTGCAGTTATGGTATTTCTTTAATCGTCCATGACCTAATGGTGGTATTTTAGTACCATTTTTAAAACTTATAGACATACGTGAGGGATAGCATATTATAATTAAAAAAATGAAAATGCTCTCCTCAGGCCATCTAACGCTCCGGACGCGCCCTTCCTGGCCCGAGGAGCATAATACACGGAGCCTGCTCTCGGCTTCTCCATAAAAAATAAATAAATGTTGATCCCCCATTCCTCCCTGTCGCGGCCTTCTTTCACCGTGTGCATGTGTCTTCCGCGGACGACTCCACCGCGCCGCTCGCCCGCCGCTCACCTTCCTTGCGCGGGGACGCTCGCCGTGGGGCAGCGCAGTTGCATGGCGCTGTCGCCTCCACCGCGAGGGACCGCACCCGCCCGCCCTGTCGACGGGAGCCGCGCAACAGCTCGTTGGTGGTTGCACAGCCACTTGTCGGGGCCACACGGCTGCTCGCCCGCTGGCATCCACCCCGCGCCACTCCGCGGCATCGAGCTCTGCGTTGACGAGCCTCCATTTGTCGAAGCAACAAGTAAATGCTACGCTGAAAGCATATGTTGCAAGAGTATGTTTTAAGTATTTCAGATGTTTGAAAGGTATGTTGCAAGTGTTGTATATCGATGTTGCAAAAGTAGATCGGAATGTTGCATATGTTGTAATGGCTATACACGTATGTTTCAAGTGTATGTTCAAAATATTTCATCTGTTCTACACGTATGTTGCAAGTATTTTATCTGGATGTTACAAAATAGATCTGGTGCATATACATGTATGTTGCAAGAATATGTTTGTAGTGTTTTTGGTGTTTTATATGTATGTTGCAAGTGTTTCATCTGGATATTGCATATGTTTGCAATATTTTTTCAAGTGTTTTTCAGGAAAAAATTGCAAAAATGACACTCGAAAGATTGACTCATTGATTATGATGACACTCGAGTGGATGACAAGTGGGTCCATCTATATCGATGAATGTGGGTCCAATGTCAAATATGTAAACGACCGATGTTTCGAGTCCCATTTTTCCAAATCGCCCGTTTTTCAGGCGTTTTCGCAAGTGTTTCAGATGTTTGTTTCAAGTGTTTCATCTGTCTTCTTTTGTATGTTACAACTGTTGCATCTGCATGTTTCAAAAGTATATCAGTTATTGCACATGGGATGCACGTGGGAAGCGGCACGGGCCCGTTGCTGGGGCGCTCGCTCACGAGCCCGACAACGCTAGGGCACTCACTCGCTCGCGCTGCGGGCACCGTCCGGACGCTAGCGCCCCGGATCAGACGTCCAGGCGCTAGCAAATCCGTTTAAAAAAAAAATCTACGTAGTTGCACACTGCTAAGTCTTACAACATTGTCAGCTTATTGGATGATAATAAAAATTAATAAAGGGGAAATAGCACACACAATAGAACAAAAACATATGCAAAATCTATTATTACTTCAGTGCCATCTATTCTTGATAAAAGCATGTTCGGTTGATGGTTTCTACGGCTAAAAAGTCGGCTGAAGCTGATTTGTTGTGAGAAAAAATACTATTCCACGACTGATAAGCCAGGCTGATAAGTTCAAGACAACCAAAGCAACAACCTTTAACGCTTGCTTGACAAACGGATCTTCTATCCCTTGTGTCTTTGTACTGTAGCAGTGCCCAAAACTTCAGCTAAATATAATCCCATAAATAGAACTTGCATAAATGAATCTATTTACACAAGTTTTTTCTTGCTGGAGTTTTAAATAACTGAATAGAAAAGATCCAATTTTTTTATTTAAAATATGTAGGAGTCTTTTTAAAAGAGATGAATCTGTGGGTGAAGATGACACCCCGTCCCATTTAGTAGAGTTCTGAAATTGAAATTCGAATTCATTAATTTCGTCGAAACATTGATTACAAAGTTCAATTCTTCTAGTTTAAATACTAAACATACTCGAGTTTATCTTGTTTGAGTTTTAAAAAAGCATTGAATGAAAAATATGCCACATACATACATCATCGTCTTAAGTACTCTGTACCTCACACTAAGTAAGCAAAAAAAAAACGATTCATATATTCATCACCACCACAAAATTGAAAAGGAGCAATTATACATTTGCTATATACATACTCTGCTACCATACCACTACCTTTTGCCAGGAAATTACATCGTCAAATCAGCTGGCAGCAGCTAGCCAGCTACTGTCCTGGATGATGCTTCATTCTGGCCGCAATGTCTGAAAGCCTGAAACACGATGGACACATTTCCCACAAGAGGAAGGCATCCATCCAAAGCCAGCCAGCAGCCGAACTCTTTTGGACTTCTGAGCGCATTCGTTTAGTACAGGCAGGCACAGCTACCTTTACTTGCTGATTTGTTGTTGACTGGACATATGTCTGCATTGCACAGTGGTCTTGCTCCACTTTAACGACCGACCTTCTAGCTTAGCTACTCCTTGTTCACATCAAGGCCTGCTGGAGAGCAGTTATTGCACTTGCACAAGCACAACGACTATCGACGCATTGGAGCCATCCTATAAATACCAGCTGCCCACTGGTCCCCGATCGATCAAGGCAAAAACTTAACACAACTCTGTATAGCAGTAGCTAGCAGAAGAAAGCTAAGCCAAGATGTGGCGAGGCAGAAACAATGGTGCACGTGTGGCTGTTGTGGAAGGCGAAGTGCATGTCGAGCGGGTGGAGAATCTCGAGCTTATTGTCAAGATCGGGATACCGTCGCCGGCGCCGCCGCCGCCGCCGCCGACCAGTGACGGGAACCAGCAGCTGGGGTGTAACGTGGACCAGCAGGCTGCAGATTTCATCAGGAGGAGCAAGGAGAGGTTCCGAGGGGAAGGTGGGAGCAACGGTCAGATCTAAAGGCCATAAACATATGCATCTTGATACCCCTCATCCAAATATATGTATTGAACTTACATAGTGTGTGTTATGACTCGTGCATGAATAATGGTGTGGCCTAGATATATATACATTCTCCTTCAGTTGTTGTATTCATGTTTCAGTCATTCATCAGTAGTTGCACTGTCATTTCTGCGGATCCAACTTAATTTGTGTATGTAAGTGTTTACTTTTCTTTAATGATAAATAGTTTGGTGTAAACTTCCTTGCAAAAATCAAGCACTCAATCACTTACTTCAAAATAATAATCAAGCGCTCAATTCGTTCAACTAATCGTCTCAACCAAGAATTTACTACAACCTGGGCCTGTTGTCTAGGTCTCTATAAAGTCACATACGTGATCTAACCAAACAACCTTCAAACTAACTGGGCAAACTGATGAAGCCCTCCAAGTCTGAATGTGTTCATTGAGTTTCTTAGAGTTATTACAGGATCAATCGCCCCATTCTTAACTGCGAAGGCAGAAAATTTTGTGTAGCAGATTATTCACTACGTAAAAAACGATTTTTAGCAACGGTTCAATTTTTTTAGGGGCGGCCGGTGATGGAGCCGCCCCTACAGTGACGTGCTCGGGTGCCCAGACACCAGCCGCCCCTACAAATGGGGTCTGATATGTAGGGGCGGCTCAATCACTAGCCGGCTCAATCACTAGCCGTCCCTGGAGTTTCTATTTGTAGGGGCGGCTGGTGATTGAGCCTCCCCTACAAATGCCCCCGTATTTATAGGTCCGATTTGTAGGGGTGGCTCAATCACCAGCCACCCCTACAAATGCCCCCCATATAAAACATATGCAACACCTTCTTCTTCATCGGGTCACTCACTCTAACCCGTGAAAGAAAGGTGGGGAGGCCTTGGGCACCTCCAAAAAATTGCTCTATTAAGGGGGTCTCAAATCCTTTGGTGGAGAGGTTGTAGAAGGTAAGAAAATGCTATTCCATACTTTTTTTAAGTTTTAATGGTTGGTTAGTGAGTAATTAGAGTTTTGTTTTTCTCTCTCTTTTATGGTGCTTGAGCTACTTATAAAGCAAATTAGACCCAAGTTTTAAATGTACTAGGGTAAATTAGGGAGGGGAACAAGGTCATACCCTTATTTGGTCCATGTTTCTTGATTTTAGTGAACAATTAGTTAGTTTTATGGATGTTTCATGTGCATGTGGATCTAAATATAGGGTTTGGTTTTTTTATTAATTTCATTTTTGTAAATTTATGTTTGATAAAATTGGACTAGGGTTTATATGAAAGATATTGGGTGAAGTATAATTTTTGCTAATTGTTGTCTTTGAAATTGTTTATTATAATCAATAAATATGTATTTTAATTATTTATGGATAAATGAGTCATTAATTAATTTTCCTTTACCATGGTGTGTTTGTATGCTATGCTTCATGTAATTATATTAGATTTATATTCATATATATCTGAAGTATATACAATTATTCTCAAGTAATTATTAATTTGTTTTATTTTTATATATATCTGAATAAGTAGTCCTTTAATGTTTGTTTTATTGTTGTTGTAAAAGATGGAGTACAGGAACTCTTGGATGTATGGTTCATTAAGATTCAAGGCAGGTTTCCGTGAAGAGATAGATAAATTTATTGAAGCCGTAAAGAAGCATGCAACGACATTGAAAGAGAATAATGATACAATTATTTGCCCATGTAAAGATTACAAGAACCGTATGACATGGACATATGTGACTATCATCAGATCACATTTAATTATGCGAGGATTTGTTGAGGACTACACAGTGTGGATTCATCGTGGTGAAACGGTTATTGTTAACGACGAGGATGAGGAGGAATACAATGACGAAACCATAGAATCCCTGTCCCAATATTCAGCAGAGCTTGATGTACGAATGGATTTTGAGTTTGGCAATGAACAAGGTGGTGATGCTGGTGGTTAGGATGGTAACGACGTAGGTGGTGCCAATAATGATGGTGGAGCACGTGTCGGGGATGAAGATGATTTGGAGGACATGATTCGAGCCCTTGGACCAGAGATTTTACCAAATAGCCCAAAAGGTCTAGAAAATTTAGAAAGGGTGACAAAAGCATCGAAGGAGACTGTGTATGGTGTTGAAAAGGGTTGTCCGACACATTGGACATTGCTATGTTTTGTGCTTGAGCTGCTCATCCTAAAGGCTAAGTACGGCTAGTCAGACTGTAGTTTCAATGATCTATTGCATCTCTTGTCATGGGTGCTGCCACAACCAAACTCAGTTCCTACCAACACATACCAAGCGAAGAATGTCATAAGTCCATTGACAATGGGGGTTGAAAAAATCCATGTATGCCCCAACCACTGTATACTTTTTCGTGGCAAAACGTTCAAAGTCACTGGATAAATGTCCCCGGTGTGGGACCAGCCGGTACAAGAATAATGACCTTTACGGTGGGGATGAAGCCTCCATGGGGAAAAAGAGGAATAAGAAGGGTACAAAAAAGGTGGTACTAGAATCTCAGCTCCCAGAGGACACTCCATTAGGCAACGATGCAAAGCAGAGAAGAATTTCTACCTTGGTAACGTGGTACCTGTCAGTAACCGACCGCTTGAGACGTATCTTCCTAAACCCTAAAGAAGCCTCCCTCATGACATGGTGGGATGATAAGGACAAGGTGGATGATGATAAGATTGCACATCCGGCTGATTGTAGTCAGTGGCAAAGGTTTGATGAGAAGCACAAAGAATTCAGCGATGACCCAAAGAATGTACGGTTTGGTTTGAGCACCGATGGAATGAATCCCTTCAATAAGAGGATGAGCGACCACAGCACATGGCTAGTGATCTTGACCATGTACAACATCCCAACATGGTTGTGTCAGAAGAGAAAATACCTTCTCCTCACTATTCTTATTTCTGGTCGTAAACAACCAGGCATTGATATAGACGTGTTCCTCGAGCCTTTGATGCAAGAAATGGAGAGGCTATGGAGGCATGGGGACCAGATGTACGATGCGTTCCTAAAGGAGGACTTCATATGTAGAACAATAATATTTGTTACTACCAATGATTACCCCGTGCTATTTTCTTTGTCTGGATAGATCAAAGGGAAGATGGGATGCTTGGTTTGCTTGGATGGTACTTCATGGGTGTATTTGGATGCATCCAAGAAGATAGTTTACCTAAGGAACCGATGCTTCTTAAAGACAAGTCATAAGTACTGCAGCAAATTGTTCTTTAGATTTTATGACAACGCCCCGGAGATTGAACCCCCTCCGGAGAGACGTCATAACAGAGAACACGTGTACAGAATGGTGAAAAACATACGCGTCGTCTATGAAAAGAAGAATCCGGATGGGACGAACAGAGATAGAAGCACACCTCCTGTCGAAGGAGTACCTTTCAAGAAACAATCGATCTTCTTTCAGTATCTGCCTTATTGGCCAGACTTGGAGGTCCCCCATGCCATTGATGCTATTCACGTGCAGAAGAATGTCTTTGAGAGTCTCATTGCTACCTTGATGGACACAGGCAAGTCAAAGGATGGTCTGAAAGCACGGAAAGACATGGTGCAGCTAAACGTGATGCCACAGCTTCACCCGATACCTGAGGCTAATGGAAATACGCTCTGCTCACGGCGTGCTTCAACCTAACACCAGACGAGAAGAGAGCTATATGCACTTTCCTGAGGGGGATCAAAGTCCCGACTGGGTTTTCAGCAAATATGAAGAAGCTAGTGTCGATGAAGGACTTGTCAATAACACACTGCAAGGCTCACGATTGCCATGTGATGCTGACAGTGTTTCTACCAATTGCAATCAGGGCTATAAAGCCAGAGTTCTTGAAAATGGCCATCATCCGCATGTGCTACTTCTTTTCGAAGATCTCACAAAAGACGATTGGCAAACAAGAGCTGAGTGACCTACATAAATTTATGGTGGAGACACAAAATCAACTGGAGATGTGTTTACCTCTTCCTTTTTTTATATAATGCCACATCTCATGATTTACATGGTTCATCAGATACAGGTGCTGGGCCCTTGCTACTTGCATGAAATGTGGTCCTACGAGCGGTTCATGTCGGTTCTAAGTCGATTCGTGCATAATTAAGCATACCCAGAGGGCTCCATGATAGAGGGTTATAGTACTGAAGAAGTCGTCGAGTGTTGTCAAGAGTACCTAAAAGTACAGAAAGAGATTGGTAAACCTGATTCTTGTCACAAGGGTAGGCTAGCTAGGAAGGGCACCAGTGGTAGAAAAGTGTTCATCGACCATGATTACAAAGAGGTGAGTCGGACGCATTATAGTGTCTTGCAGAGTACACAACTGATGCAACCGTACATTAATGAACACTTGGCTATCATTATGATGGAGAGAAATAGCCGTTCGGATGATTGGGTCATGAAACAACACAAGCAACGACTAACTATATGGTTGAAGGACCAAAACATACCACCTAGAGAAACCATAGACTCTATTATCATCAGTAGGTTAGCGGAGGGGCCATCGAGACAAGTGATATCTTGGAATGCTTATGACATCAATGGGTATACGTACTATACCCATGCAAAGGATAGTAAATATTGTTTCAATTTGAAATTGTTTGAATTTCAAAATTTGAATCGTTCAAACAAAGTCACATGACAAGATGACCAAAATAAAAGTTGTACATGTTGATGAGTTATACAACTTTTATGTTTACAACATTTTCATTTTATTTCATTTAATATCATAAAATTGTAGTCGAAGTTTTAAATTCAAAATTTTAATTTTTGTTTTTTTTGTTTTCTATATTGTTTTGACTACAATTATTTATATATATATATATCTTCATATATAGAATAATACAAAATATTATATTTGTGCATATACGCAATTTTTTTATATTACTTTGTGTTTTTATGATATAAAAAATATAGAATTTATAATTTAAAAAAATAGAAAATATTTTTAGGGGCGGTTGAATCAGGAACCACCCCTAAAAATGTATTTGTAGGGGCGGCTGAATCAGGAAC